TGTTCATTTTGGGAGAAAAAAAACATTCAAGCAGATCCCAGAATTTTTCAGTAAGACTGAAGTCAGGACTGAACAAATGTCATCCCATCTAAGGGGAAGTCTCTGAAAACACCCTCCAAGGGGTCGAGCATTGGCTCCGGCCCAGTGGGTGGAGGTAAGTTGCCTTAGCTTCCAGAATATTGTCTTTATATCTCTCTGCATTAAGATTGCCTCCAATCATGTCAAGTCCTGTATTCCCATTCAGACCCAAGCATCACACTACATCTGCCAAAAGATGTTTTGCATTAGAAAAGACGCTTTAGTTTCACCACTACACAGCTCTACCTAGAATTGCATTTTCCTGACAGATGACAAAGAATTGTTTCTCCTCCTTCATTCTAACATGCTTAATTTCAGCTGTCTGGCTAAATCTTTACTAAATGACTGCAATCTATCCATGTCTCATTACTGCTTGGAGTAAAACACAACTTTTGGGCTTGCATTTATCAAACAGCTTTTGGAGAAATTTCAACAGAATTTCAATGAGGTCAAGATGTAGAGATTTTTTATTTTCATATTAAACTCTCAGTCGTTCAGAGACTTTATCTCCTCTGTCTTCTGACACAGTGCATGTATTTTTTTTTAACAAGGTGCTCCTAGAGTTGCTTGATTAGATCTCTTTTCCAAAGTAGAAGAGTCCCATGCTCAAAGGACTGCCTTTTTAAGCATTATTGTGAAAGTGATAATCAATGATTTTGCTTCATCATCTGCAAAGGCGTAAAGTTCGTAAAATATGCCTCAGTTTCCACTGAATTGTTGATGAAAGTTTTTTTTTCCCTTTTCCAACAAGTTATACCAAGGTTTTCAAAAGTCACCGTTGCTAAACTGTTACATTTTTCTGTGTTTCTTTGGACCTCATGCAAGAACCGATCGTACGAACAGATTTGTTCTTAAATCATTTGTGCGAGTAATTTAGGAAAAAATGTCACATTCACCATTTTCTCCTTTTCTAAACTTGTCTCAGGTTTTTTTTTTTTATTTATTTATTTAACATCTAATTGTCCAAGCTGTAATTAAATTCATCATTAGCTTTTCTTGGGAAAATCTGCTTTATCAACAAAAAGTTCTTTATGTCATCTGATATACAGAGTTTGGACTGATTGGATGCTACTATTAGCCTTTAGCTGATTTGTCTAAATTTTCTGAGATTCAGCTTGACTTTCAAGCTAAATGTCTTATTGCTAATACAAATTAATGACATAAAGTGTTGGTTCTATCTACCTTTCCTTCTTTACAGTAGCTGCATGAAAAATACTAAGATTCCCAAAAGGAGATTAGAGATGGCTCAGAGTCATCTATAATACTTTTTGGTGTTAAATTTGAAAGTTATGCCGCTAACCGGTCTGAATGACATAAGGGCTGGAAATCACAATGTTTTTTTGTTGTTGTTATTTTTACAAAAGTACATCTTTTAGATCAGATGAAAATGAAAAAATTAAATCATTGAGAGTTTTTTCATGATATCATTCAAGAAAAAGTTGTGAAAAGATTTATGAGAAACAAAAGATTTATGACATAATCATATGTTTTTCCAGTTTCAATGTACAGCTCTCTAAATGTAGGCAGACATTTGACTCTGACGATAGTAAAGTTCTCTTCCTCATTATGTTAAAAAGAAAAATATCCTTTATACTCATAACAGACCTGAAATAGGAAAGGATTAGTTCTACAGATCTGCAACATGGTGCTGTTTGGACCTTCCACAACAGCTTTTAATAACGCAGGGTAAAAATTATAGAAAAAAAAAAGACTACTCTGTCTAAATAAAGATATAATACAATATGTAATGTAAATCCCTTTATCGTCCCACAATGGGGAAATTCACTCTCAGCATTTGACCCACCCTGCTGGAGAATTTAGCAGTTTTTTTTTCATGGAATAACTGTAATGAATTTTCAAAGCATATTTATACTGAGATTACACTATTCTGATATTTTCAAGAAATTCTAAGTTGCTCTAAATGAGTTTTAACTAGGCAGACCTAAGGAATAACGACTTTTTTAATTGCAAAGGTTGCAGACCTCTAGTTTCAACTTATTTAAAGTCAGTGGAAAACACGATTGTTTGACTATGTATACAGTTTAAATGTTTGGTTCCAATTGTGCTACTGTAAATAAAGGTAATGCCGTCTTCATTCATGGGACTCACGACGTTAACATTTTTTAACCATGGGTGGCCACTGAGTTGCCCAATTCTAAAGGAAACCATCTGTTTTCAGTCTCTAATGATACAGCGTACAAACCAGTTCAGCAGCAGACATCAAAGGGGCTTTGATCTCCAACAAAATGAACGCCTAAGAGTGAAATGTTTGTCCTAATGACTGCTACACCCAGGCCTACACAGTGGATAATACAAGGAGCGACAGGAAGCCTGGAGGTTGGGACACCTCAGAGCCAAGCCCTCAGACTGCAGGGCAGAGGGATTTACTGCTGCACCTGAAAACACCTTCACTGTGTTTTCCCACAGTCATTCTGAAGCACTTCTCTTTCATCCAATTCACAGTTTCTCTAATCTTCTCGCCTAGCTTCTAATTTACATAAATATAATGCGTCAAAAAAGTGCTCACCCACATGTGCAAATTAACCCATTATGTCTGCTTTTAAAACCATAGCCACTGGGTACCGTTTGTGTAGACAAATGTTAGGGATCTGTTTCCAATGAATATGTCTAATATCAGCCTAGATGTCTACAGTCTCAAAGTCCCTTGCCTCTATGAAACTTGGCAGGCAAAGTGCATCTCTTTTTCACACCAATCAGTGTTAAGTGTGGGTGAGACAATATGAAACTGTGAGGGAACATTTTAGTGGCAGGAACATGGAGTTGTTTGAATGCTAAAGGGAACAATGTGGCGTTGAATTTTTATGGAAAATCTGATTCATTTGTTAGGCCGTAAACTCTGTGGACAAAAAAAAAATGTACCACATCGTTTAGTTAGTTTCCCCAGATAAACTGTGCACCAAAACACCATCCATCCTTTAACATCCATCCATCCATCCATCCATCCATCCATCCATCCATCCATCCATCCATCCATCCATCCATCCATCCATCCATCCATCCATCCATCCATCCATCCATTTGACTTTTGCGGTTAAAAGAAAAACAAACACTAGTTTTAGAAAAAATGCAGAATGAACTGCATTGAAAGCTGCAATTGTGATAAGACTAGAATTAGATTTGGGTATGCTTAAAAAGAACACACTGATCACAAGCAGACAATAGATAAAGAAACAAAAGTGGGAAAGACCGAAATTGGCAGAATGTAAGGGCATAATCACAAATAAAAAGATGAACCTAAAGAGGATAACTCAGTGTGAAAACAACTGAGAGATACAAAAAAAAAAAAAAAAAAACAGTCAAGATAGGAATTAGAAAAAGTAAACTTATATCGTCATGCATATCAAGAAAATCTGTCCAACAGTCTGATGCTGCATCCGTTTTGGTTATCTCCATTCATTTCCCGTTTAAATGTACTCTGCTGCATATTCACTTATTTCACAGAAATGACTGCTATACAGTAAAATCATCTCCTCCTCATTAAGCAAGTTAGGGGCTATAAAAGAGGTAAACAAATTAAATTAACTTCAATCTAATGTAGTTTCATGAAATTCAATTGAAAGGTCAAAACTAGTTTATTGGAACTAACTGTTCGTACTGTCTAATTGTCTGCCAGGAATCAGAATTACACTGGAATATTTTCTGATTTTTCCGATTTGAAGATATTTCAGAAACATTGTGAAAATTGTGTAATACCTTCTGCAAATGCTTTGCAAAGAAAAAAAAAGAAAGAAATCTACATGAATTTGACATAATGTTCACTTAATGTTTAGGAAAGAAAAAAAAAGTCTTGTTGAATTAATTATGTCTACTGCTTTTCACTTATGTAAGATTCTATCTTATTGTTCCTGAAGGACAAACTCTATTTTCTTTGCATCTCAGTTTGCATGAAAGCTTTGTAGAAACATTAACACCAGCATGAAAGTCCTGAAGGTATATTGATAAATGAGCTCTACATCTTATAAATGTGATGGCCTTGAGAATGCTGGCTCTTACTGTGTTTTAAAACTGTTCATTTTTACCATGCCATCTTTGAACTCTACTCAAACTTAGGAGAGATTTTAAAAAAAAAAACTTCTAGTGCTTTAGTTAATCGCAATATCTAAGCAAAATCATGATGTACCAATTTTAAAATAGGGTATTTTCTGGATGTAAGGAAAAAAAGACAGCTTTTACTTTAAAACAATTGACTCTAAAAATTTGCAAAATCTAAATGGATTTCATATTTCCTACTGGAAGAGTACACTAGATCCTAAAACATTAGAGAATGTCTTACACATATAAAAAAAATTGGTGACTTTCCCATGTTTTTGCCTCCCAACTAAAGATTAGTAGAAAATATTCGATATCAATGTATTTATTTGGAACATATTTTCATTTGCCTGACCCTCTCCTCTGCATTTGTTTCACTAGCATCAGTTCCATCCATTTTGGGTAATAATTTAGTTAATAATCCTGCTTCAGATTAATTTCCCTTTTATGGCTTCTACACACATTATGCACAACTTATAAGAAATGTAAAAGGTTTAGTAAAGGTAAAGCAGCACTAGCTTGGGTTCAAGGAGATATTAAAACATTGCGGTTATGAACTTCAAAGCTGCTGGTTAACAGATATTTTCAATCAAATCATTTGCATTGGAACTTAAAGCTATGTGGTTGAAAGTCTTAAGTGTGAAGCATTTAAGCTTTGAGATGTGATTTCATCAGACCTCTTATGAATTCTCTTTATATATATGTATAAATATCTACTAGCTAGTTACAGAGCCTAACTAAATCTTTAGTCAAACACATTAGTGTTGAATATATGGTGTCAAATTTTGATGCAAAATTAGAGAACGCATTAAATCATGTAAACATACAAATGTACGAGTTGTTCAGAGGGAAAAAAAGCAAGGAAAGGATACTGGTGATCCAGACGTTGCCATAGGCTCTGTGGTGTCTCTACTCTCTCAGTATCAACCTGTAGACCAAAAAAGAAATAATATTACTCTTGGACGCCTCTTAAAAGTTTTGTATGGCTGATGGAAAATGATGAAACCTGCACTACCTAAATGGCCTGTGGGGCCATATTTAGTGACCCCTATTTGTAAAAGCGAGACCTCTGGGCAATCAGATAAACTCATAAACTGTGCAATCCTTAAAGGTCTGTAGCAGCTACAGTGAGACCAAAGCCTGAACAATTCCGGTGTGGACTCCCACCCTGGGCAAGGTTACACTCATCCATATAAACAGAATATAACTTGGTCTCATCCCTCCAGCAGGATTCATGCAGTCATCTAGCTGCATGCTCACTTTGGTCGCACAGTGCTACAAAGATTCAAAAACCTTCTCTGATTCATAGCATGCAGATAAAAGCATTGTTGCAGAAAAAAAAGAAAAATATGAAAGAGACATGTTCAAGAGCTGCTCCAGTGATGAGGTGAGAGGGGCATGCATGCATGGATGTGTACAAACCACAAAACTAGACTTTAGATGTGCTAGGTAGGATGTGGTAACTTTAGTTGCTTTAAAAGAGGCAAAAGGGCATTTCATCTTGACTCTGCTTTTCTTTCAAGTAAAATGGAGTACAAGAACATGCAATAACAAGAGCCTCTAAAATTTTATTAAATTAAACATTTTATGCACAGATAAATTGTGCATAAATTAAATGCCTCCATAAAAAAGGAGAATTTTTCATCTTTTACCTCAGAGCAGACATCCTGCAAACTGACATCTGTGTCCTCTTCCACTCTGAATCAAGACAGAAAAAGGTAAAATCAAACGGTGAATCAATCACATATTCAGTAGGAGGCAATCTTGGGTCAGTGCTTCTGTCTTTATTTGTGTCTTTTCTTTATTTTTATTTTCATTTATTGCTTACTTAAACACTGTGTACTCTCTTTTTGTGTCATATAGAAAGTAGTCCTTCCCTAGTTCTTAGGAGTTGAGAAATGTCTTTTTCCGATGAAAGAGCTATTGTTGCCATTCACTTTGTGTTCTTATTTTTCTCACTTAGATGTTACCAGAAAGTGTGTCAGGCTAAGAGGGTGTGCATTTTTATGTGTTCTCGGTCTTAGCCAAAACTACTGAAGGAATATGGCTACGATCAATCTTAGAGTTTTTTTTTTCTCCTATAGAACTTATTAGTGGTTTAGCGTCCCACTAATCCATGTGCTGAGGCCTGAACTTGTCAGACTGCAGGAGTAAAATGTCTTTCGAAGCATAAATGGCTGCTGATGCTTGCTCCTACAGGTCAGTAGTTTACTCTAAGAGCCCATCAGTGCTACTGAGAACACTTTGAGATATCCTACTGCTATTTATCACATGTCTGTGAGCCTTTTGAATGTGCTGACACATGAGGCTTTTACCAGCAGTACCCTGCAATAACTGCACTGGAGCTTCTCATCAGAGCAACAACTTGGAGTGACTACTTATAGGTGTACATATTCACTAAGCAATTTTATAGCGTCACTTCTTTCAGATCCCAGACTATTTGGTGCTTTCCATGTTCTCTTGTTTTTTAATATCTGTCCTTTTAAAATATTTACATGTCAAACTTTTTTTTAAGGATTTTGCTGCTTCAAAGTTTTCACCCTATTTCATTGGTATTGGTAAAAGAAAGCATGGGTTTCAAATACCTAATTAAATAAAAAAAAAAATCTAAAACCTGTGGATTGCATTTGTGACCTTCCACTTTTAATCTAATAGATCTTGATTAGATCAAATAAGGCAAAACCCCTTTACCCAACCCTAAAGGGTAAATAGAGTTCACGTTTTGTAATTTAATTATGATTTTTCAGTATAAAATCAGCTATTCTTGAAGGCCTAAGGGATCAAAAAGTAACTTAAAGGCCAATGAACACAACAGACTGGCCAGAGATACAGCACCAGTAAAGTTTCAATTTCTTTGATAAAAAAACATCAGAAGCTTTTGTAGCACTATCTAATCCATCATATTATAATAGAAAAGAGTATTGAACAACTATAGAGCATTAATTAAAGAGGCAGCCAAGAGGCCCACTGGATGAGCTGCAGAGACCCAAAGCTAAGGAGAGAGAATCTGTTGACAGCAAATTTAATTTAATTGTAATTTCTATAGGTGGAGTCTTAGTTGAAAATAAGCACAAAAAAGCCTTTTAACTGCCTCTAGCTGTTTAAATTTTCAAATGCCCCAAAAGTTCTATGCAACGAGGAGTTGGAGCAAACTTTGAGTGATTTATTGATTAGCCCAAAGCTATGAGGTGCCCCCAGGGACATAAATCAGAATTAACTTGCATATACACATATTAAATTACACTCTTCCATATAATATACTGAAAACCTCACACAAACACTAGTAAAAAGCTCTCATAAACTAATGAAAACATTTACCTCTTATATAATCTACTCAAATGCTCTCATACAAAGTAGTGAGAACTGTTCATATAAACTGGTGAAAAGCTTTACCTTTCATACACACTACTAGAAAGCTTTCATATACATTATTAAAAAGCTCTCATATACACTACTAGAACGCTCTCATATACACTACTAGAACGCTCTCATATACACTATTAGAAAGCTCTCATATATACTATTAGAAAGCTCTCATATACACTACTAGAAAGCTCTCATATACACTATTAGAACGCTCTCATATACACTATTAGAAAGCTCTCATATACACTATTAGAACGCTCTCATATACACTATTAGAACGCTCTCATATACACTATTAGAAAGCTCTCATATACACTATTAGAACGCTCTCATATACACTATTAGAAAGCTCTCATATACACTACTAGAATGCTCTCATATACACTATTAGAACGCTCTCATATACACTATTAGAAAGCTCTCATATACACTACTAGAATGCTCTCATATACACTATTAGAACGCTCTCATATACACTACTAGAAAGCTCTCATATACACTACTAGAATGCTCTCATATACACTATTAGAAAGCTCTCATATACACTACTAGAAAGCTCTCATATACACTATTAGAACGCTCTCATATACACTACTAGAAGGCTCTCATATACACTACTAGAACGCTCTCATACACGCTACTAGAAAGCTCTCAAACACACTACTGGAAAGCTTTCATACACACTATTAGAAAGCTAAAATATATGGTCCCCCTCCTTTAATTTAGGCAAACATTGCTCAAATATCACCGAATCCAGATGGTTTGTTGTTGATGAAGAGAGGAATAAACACAGTTTAAGATTTGCAGCTAAATTAATTTGTTTCCATATTATGGAACTGCTATCAGGCACTTCCCATCATCTTATATCAGTAATAAAAACTTGGTGACTTGACTTTTATTTCTGTCAGGCTGAAGTGAAAAAACTTGGAAAGAGACTGATTCTCTTGGCGTTTAAAATAACAACACAAAACAGCATAAGAAAACCGCATTTATTTTTTTTATTTTACAATTTTGTAAACAACAGCGGCTGATTAAACTAAATGTCTCAACCTTGTATAATTTTATGACATTTATTTAACCAAGAAATGATCCGAAAGGCCTGGGAAATGATCAGATCCGCTTATGTGGTTGCAATGCGCGGCGCGCTCCCGACACAGGTGGAACAGATTTTCACATGGGAACAGAATTTCGCACAACACCGGAAAAGGATCTCTGTTGAAGCAAAAACATAAAAAATAAAGTCGAGTAATGCCCATGCTTCTTTGAGTTGTTTAGCGGATAGCTGAGCATGAATCAATAATTTTATTTGATACAATTTCGGCCGGAGATAGCACAAAATGTACGGAGCTAGCCAGAATGACCTCCGTTTAAAACAACTTCCGGTGTAATGACGGTCCTTCCTGTTTCACTGAAACACCTTCCGTTTCAACTGAAATCCGCTAATAGCTTTTCAGTAGTGTGTATGAGAGCTTTCTAGTAGCGTGTATGAGAGCCTTCTAGTAGTGTATATGAGAGCTTTCTAGTAGCGTGTATGAGAGCCTTCTAGTAGTGTATATGAGAGCTTTCTAGTAGCATGTATGAGAGCCTTCTAGTAGCGTGTATGAGAGCCTTCTAGTAGTGTATATGAGAGCTTTCTAGTAGCGTGTATGAGAGCGTTCTAATAGTGTGTATGAGAGCGTTCTAATAGTGTATATGAGAGCTTTCTAGTAGTGTATATGAGAGCTTTCTAATAGTGTATATGAGAGCGTTCTAATAGTGTATATGAGAGCGTTCTAATAGTGTATATGAGAGCGTTCTAATAGTGTATATGAGAGCTTTCTAATAGTGTATATGAGAGCTTTCTAGTAGTGTATATGAGAGCTTTCTAATAGTGTATATGAGAGCTTTCTAATAGTGTATATGAGAGCGTTCTAGTAGTGTATATGAGAGCTTTTTAATAGTGTATATGAAAGCTTTCTAGTAGTGTGTATGAAAGGTAAAGCTTTTCACCAGTTTATATGAACAGTTCTCACTACTTTGTATGAGAGCTTTTGAGTAGATTATATAAAAGGTAAATGTTTTCACTAGTTTATGTGAGAGCTTTTTACTAGTGTTTGTGTGAGGTTTTCAGTATATTATATGGAAGAGTGTAATTTAATATGTGTATATGCAAGTTAATTCTGATTTATGTCCCTGGGGGCACCTCATACAAAGCCATTTCATAGTTACAATTCTTTCTAACATTCAATTCTTAGTTCCCCCATTCAATTTAAAAAGAAGAAAAAAAACACCCTTCTGTTTGTCGATTTGTATCATTCAACAGGCACTTCTATCAAATTCTAGATTTGTTGTCAGCAGGCTTTTAGCTAGGAATATTTCATAGGGTGTACACCTTGGTATCTCACATCTTTAGACTTTGCGCTGCGAAATTTTGAAATTTAGACTGAAATGCTATTTCCTGCATCTTGAGGTTTAATGCAGCTAACTTCTTGTCTTTGTTGTAACACTACTTTTGTCCTCATTATAGGAAGTATGTGTGATTGACTAGAGGTGGAAATTTCATAATGAAGACATGCAATCATTTTTAGTTACAATGTTATGTTTCACAGGTTAATTTAAACAATCAGAAAGTATAATGTTATGTTCCCACTACGATATGAGTAGCAAAAAGCGCCTGCTGCTTCATTTTTGATGCTTGTATACATTAAGGTGATGCTCCTGAGGCACGTCCAGTAAAGTGTTTACAGCTGCGTCTACTGCTTCTGCTCCTCCTGTGTTCAGTGGCAAAGAGTGGCTTTGCTATATTTTCTATGATAAGGGGGTAAAAAGTAGTTTTACTATGTTTAAGTGAGAAAGTCCACTTTAAAAAACATCTGTACAGTCAGTTCACCAAGATTACGATCCTGCCTTTAAATATTATTATCGCTGTCGGAGGTGCTCAGACCCCCACATGGCAGCAGTGCGCTATCACCGGAGTAGATGTTAGCGCTTTTCAGGTATATGGTACAAACTACAAGCACCAGAATAATAAAAGCAAACATATTTTGCCAACATTTTAGGCATCAATAAACAGTTTCAGTGGACTGGTCATATTGCTCTGCATAAGCAGCGCTATCTGTCCCCCTGCCAGCTCCCAGATCAGCTTCTCTGACTGGTTGATATTGCACATGGAGCATCTGCTGCTTGTGAAATATTGAACATTTGAGTTTCCTGGGGAAAAAAGGCAGACAATTTATCATTTTGTTAGTAAAGGCCATACAATGTACGGCCATACACATGGCTAGCTAAAAGCTAGGTTAATAGAATTCCAATCTGATTTAGTGGTAAATACTTTAACATTCATGCAGACATTG